CAGATTCAGTCTGACCTGATACTGTGTCTCCCTCCCTGGTGCAGGACCCGTGGAGTCCAGTCCCGACAGTCTCTAGTGATTCCGCCTAACACGATCTAGCCAGGTCCTGCAAGTCGTTTGCAAGTCTTTGTCTAAGGTTTGACTTAGTGACTGGTCTCCTGGAGCACTCCGATGCTTGACTCCACTTTTGGCGTGGTGGCAAGGAGGTGGCGGGTGTGGAAGACGGGACAGCTGGCCGCCGTCTGCAAGGTAACTGCCTCATTAGACGGGAGGAAGGGCCGCCTTTCCTGGAAAGGAGGCTGAGCGGGATGTGGGAGTTCAGGACCCTCAGCGCCATCTAAATTCTCCCAAATTACACCATGCCAATTCTCAGGGTACCACTTTTCTCAAATGATGCCCTAAGTCTTACCCAAAGGTCTGGCCAGGCTGTGAATTCACTCCGCATTGCGATTCAGCAACCTGCAGCTGGAAGAGGTCGGAGACCATGGCGGGCGCCCGCAGAAACGGGTCTCTGAACACGCTCGGAGGCGAGAATTTACACCCAGAGCCTGCCTACTCGAGGTCCTTGTGGCTCTCGTGTCACCCGTAGTGACCTGCTCTTCTTGTCCCCCGGGACACCAGGTCCTCGCCTATAATAAAAGGCAGAGGTGGAAAAGTTTCAACTGAACAGTCACTAGGAAGCGACGTAACCAAGACGGTGTGGTGTCAGTGTAGGGACAGAAATGCAGATGGATGAAACGAAGTGGAGTCTGGGAATGAAATTCACATTTATGGCCAACCGGTTTTTGATAAAGGTGCCAAGGCAGTTCAGTGGGGAAAAGACGATCTTTTCAACAAATAATGCTGGAATAATATGCAAACATAAATAAATAACTTAGGAGAACTTAGACCTTTACCTCGCACCATACACAAAAACGAACTCAAAATGGAAGGTCGGGGAGGGGGGAATGGCGTAGATAGAAGCTGCGTTCATCCCCCTTTGCTACCACATCGAAATCGAGACAGAACCATGGAGCAAACAGCAAGCAGAGTCGCCTGCAGTCTGGGTGAATAGAAGCCCTACAACTAAGGAGAGAAATAAGAAATCACCCTGCAACGGGAGGAGGTAGGAGGGGACGAGGATGTGGGGCTGCCCGGTCCCCAGCGGCTGAGTGAGACAGAGGCTGTGGCAGCTGCAGATGCCTCTTAAAGGGGCCGCATCCACGACTGGAACTTTGCAGTCACGGACCTGCTCACTCTGAGCACCAGCGCCGGTTCGGCTGAGTGGGGGCACCAGGGACTTACAGGGGGACACGGAGTTGTCAGAGTGACTCTGTACAGAAGTGCCGGTGGTATCCATTGTTCCCTGCTGAGCCTTCCCCGCTCCCAGTGCGGGGACGCAGCACTGCCATAGCCCTGACATCATCAAGCTGGATAACAGAGGTCACTCCGCCCAGAGGATTCCCTGAAACCCCGCCTCCCCCAACTCGTGGCCCCACCCAAGCCACATCCAGGTGTATCCTCAGCGAGTCAGGTGCTCCTTGCTGAGCAGCGCCTAGACTCACACATGGAGGCAGCTGGCCTCGGTTTCTGGTGTGGCCTTTTGAGGCAACTATAAGCACAGCATCTGTGGATTGCTTGCTGAATATTAACAGGTGGTCTGGAGGCACAGAGGCTGGGGCTAAACTTGGCCTGCAGCTGAGCCCCTCTCAGGACTGTGCCACTGGACATCAGCTTCACAGATCCATACTAATAAGACCGAGAGACTTAGGATCTTTGCTTAGTACATAGAAACAGACATGGAAAGGCAGCCAAAATGGAAAGACAAAGAAGCAGAAACCATATGAGAGAACAGAACAGAGATCCAGATGCAATGGAGTCAAATCATCTAACAGATGCAGAGTTCAAAACACTGGTTATAAAGATGTTCAATGAACTTCGGGGAAGTATAGAAGTCAGTGAGAACTTTAACAGAGAGATAAAAAAACATAAAAATGGAAGTGGAAATTATAAAAGGAAACCAGTCGGAAATGAAGAACACATTATCTCATATGAAGAGCATATTAGATGGAAGAAACAAAGTGGATAAAGGAGAGGATCGAACCACCCATATGAGGATGGGGAAACCAAGGAAACTCAATCAGAATAGCAAGAAAAAAAGCAGCCAAGACTATAATAATAATTTAAGGAGCCCACGGGACACAAATGTAAAAATATCCATGCCATAGGGGTACCTGAAGGAGAACAAGCTGTCGAAGAGCTATTTGAAGAAATAATGATGAAAAACTTCCCTACCCTGGTGAAGGAAATAGACATAAAACCCCAGGAAGCTCAGAGAGTCCCAAGAAAGAGGAACCCAAAGAGGTCCACACCAAGACACATTATAAATAAAATGCCAAAGGTTAAATACAAAGAAAGAATCTTAAAAGAAGCAAGAGAAAAGCAGTTAGTTATCTACAAGGGAGAACCCGTAAGACTGGCAGCTGATTTCTCAAAAGAAACTATGCAGGACAGAAGGGCTTGGCACAAAATATTTTACATGATGAAAACCCAGGATCTACAGCCAAGAATACTTTATCCAGCAAAGCTATCATTTAGAGTCGAAAGACAGATAAAGATCTTCCCAGACAAAAATAAGCTAAAAGAATTCATCGACACCAAGCCAGTATTACAGGAAATCTTGGAGGGACTTCTTTAAGAAGAAAAAACATGTATCAAAAACAGAATAGTCATAATTACATTCCTATCAATAAGCACCTCAAATGGAAAACAATTTAGTGTCCCAACCAAAAGACAGGATGGCTGAATGGATAAGAAAACAAGACCCCTACATATGCTGCCTACAAGGGACTCACTTCAGTTTAAAAGTCACACACAAACTAAAAGAAAGGGGATGGAGAAAGATATTGCCTTGATGGACCTAGAGGGTATTGCGCTGAATGAAATGGGTCGGATAGAGAAAGACAAATATCGCGTGATTTCACATACATGTGGAATCTAAAGAACAAAACCATCAACAACAACAAAAGCAGAAATAAACTCATAGATACAGACAATATTTTGAGGGCCACTAGATGGGAGGGGTGTAAGGGGTGGCAAAAATAAAGGCAAAGGGATTAAGAGGAACAAATGGAGTAGACATGGAGATGTAGAGTGTAGCATGGGGAAGATGGTTAATAATGTCATAAATATGTAAGGGGGAAGAGGGGTACTAGATTTAGTGGGGTGATCGCTTTGTGAGTTATATAGATCTCTAATCACTATGCTGTATAACTGAAACTAATATATTATTGTATGCCAACTATAGTTGAAAAAAAACCTCATTGAATCATACAAAGTAAATACTAGCAACTAATTATCTACTATATTTCAGTAAAGCCAGAAAAAAAAAATGTAATCCTAGGACCCATCCCAGTCTACAGACTGGTTGTGGGGAATCCGAAATAAGTAAAAAATCTGAAAAAAAAAACCAAAACCAACTTCTGTAACATTTGACAGATTAATTTTATAGTTAAATCTAATAAGAATTCAGAGCTTAAAAAAATTAACTCAAAATGTATGAAAGACCTAAACGTAAAAGCTAAAACTATAAAACTTCTAGGGAAAAAAGCAGAGGTGTAAATCTGCACACCCTTGGATGAGGTAAAAATTTCTTAGTTCCTACACGTGATACCAAAGCACAGACCATATGTGAAAAAAAGCAACGAAATGGAACTTCATCAAAATTAAAAACTCTTGCTCTTCAGAAGATACTGTCAAGTAAATGCCAACTTTGAAAATGAAGACAAAGGTATTTAAGAATTGTTTATCTGCTAGGGGACTTGTAGCGAGAATGTATAAAGAACTCTCACAACTCAACAATAAAAAGACAAATGACTCAATTTTAAAACAGGCAAAGGATTTGCATGAACCTTTCTCTAAATATATGTAAAAGGTCAATAGTACATGAAAAGATGCTCACTGTCATTAGTCAACAGGGAAATGCAAATCAGAACCACAATGAGATAATACTTCTCACCTGCCAGGCCAGAAGGGGGCGGGGATAAAAAAATCTGATAAAACCAAATGCTGCTGAGGATGTGGAGGAACCGGAACCCTCACACATCGCTGTGCGAATGTAAAGCAGCACAGCTACTTTGGAAAGCAGTTTAGAAGTTTCTTAAAATGTTAAACGTGGAGTTAGGGGATGGAAAAAGATATTGCCTTGATTCAAGTCAGCAATTCAGCTTCTAAGTATATGCCCAAGAAATGAAAATCTATGTTGTCTGCACAAAAACTTGGAGGCGAATGTTCATAGCAGCAGTACTCATAATCACCAAATGCTGGGGAGAGTCCAAATGTCCATCAACTGACGGGTGATAAACAGGAAACTGCTGGCCAAAGAGCTGAAGCTACCGTTGCTGGCTCAGGACCACTTTGTCTCTGCCAGGAACCACCTGGGCTCGTCCCCTTGCGTGACTCACTTCCAGACCAGCCATGATTAGTGGAACCTGAGTCACGTCCAGAAGCTTCCCTGCGTGGGATTCTGGGGGACAGCTTTTAGCTTTCTAGCCTCTGCTTGCTAGAATGGGGCTGGGGTCTGTCATCTACCAGGCATAGTTCACATGCCTCTGAGCCCAGAATTTTCACTCTGTTTCTCAGAACTACGTAGTCTTCTGTGTCTGGCTTCGTCCACGTGGCATAAGTTCATCTGCACGTATCAACAGTTCATTCACTTCCATGCTTTAGTATTCCATTACCCGGATGTACCTTATATGCCTACATGTGCATCTTCTCTGAAGAAATGTCTATTCAAATTCTTTGCCCATTTTTGAACTGAATTATTTGTCTTTTTATTGTTGAGTTATGAGAGCTCTTTATATATTCTGGTTATAAGTCCACACTGTTTTAATGACTATAGCTTTATAATATTTTTTGATTTTGGTAGGACAAGGTCTCCCTTTATATTATTTTTATCTTGCGTTTTACTTATGTAAACTTTAAAACCAACTTCTCAAATTCCATAAAAATTACTGTTGGAATTTCGATCGAAATTGCTTTTTATTGATTAATCTGCGGCAAAATAACTTTTACAATATTGAGCGTTCCCATTCGTTGAGATGGTGTCTTTTTCAATCCTTGTCTTTTCTCTAGGAAATCGTAATGATTTTATCTGTAATTGTACAATTTTCAGTGAATTTAATTCTAGTTTATGTTTCCATAAACTGGATGTGATTTCCCTCTTTTTCTAGGTGGTTAATGCTGATATATGGGAAACTAGATTTTTGTACATTAATATTAAATCTAGACACTTCACAGTCAATCTACTTCTCAAAACGTACGGACTTTTTACACAGATGAGCATCTCTTTGGCAAATATTTTCTCACTTCCTTTTCGAAATTTATTCATCATCAAAGAAATATAAACAGTTGATTAGATTGTCAAAAGCTACTCAAACTCCGTAGAGAAATATGCTTCCCTGTGATTCTCACCCTGGCTTCATTGTTCTCTTAATAGCTGTTTCTTAAGAAATGACAAGAAACTACCACGTCCAGAAAGGCTTTTTTCCCCCCTAACATTTACTTCTTTAAGTTGCGGCAAACACGACATTTATCATCTTATGTTAAATTTCCACTTTAACCATTTTTAAATGCGTAGTTCAGTGGCATTAGTACATTAGTAAAACGGAAACCCTGTACACAGTAAACAAGACCTCAAACCCTGTCCCCTGGCGGCCGCCCTTCTGCCTTCTGCCTCTACGAATCTGACTTGAGTGCCTCACACGAGTGGAATATAAGAACGTTTGTCTTTTTGTAACCGGCTTATTCCACTGAGCACAAAGTCCTCAAGGGTCATCCACGTCGTAGCACACGTGAGGATCTCCTTTTTAAGGCCGACTAATGTTTCACTGGCCGGATGGACCACATTTTTTGAATCTACTCACCTGTAACGGGCAGTGGCTGTTTCCTTTTGGCCGTTGTGAATGATGCTGCTGAGAACATGGGTGTGCGAATCTCTCTTCTAGTTCCTGCTTTCGATCCTCTTAGGTGTGGACCCAGAAATGGGATTGTTGGGTCATATGATAATTTTATGTTTATTTTTTTTTGAGGAACTAGAGAGGCTTTTAAATGATTTCTCAGTTTATCGATGATCTCAGCAACATCCGACATTTGAAAATGTAGCTGTACACACATCTGGGAGACGACTCTATCTACAGCCCGCACCCGGCGGGCAAGTGAGTTCACGACCCCAGGCACAGTGACTCAGCTGACCTTGCCTTGCTCTTTGAAACACCACTTTCTTGGCCGCCATGAGGGCACAGCCTCCGAGTGGGCCTCCTCCATCTCGCTAATCTTTTTCAGGCTCTCTTTTGGAGTCCTTCACTCAAAGCCAACGGTGCTGGGCAGTTAACTATGGAGCCCCTCCAGCTGCTAGACTTAAACCTGAGACTTTGCTGCTGGCTCCTCCCTGGCGACTGTCACCTTGGAAAGCACTGGCTGTTGGGGCGGACAGAGAAGGGCCTTCTTGGATGGAACCCTGCCCTCCAAGACCCACCTCTGCAAAGGGGCAGCAGGCTATGTTGCCATCGTGGCTCCGGGCTGCAGAACCACAGTGATGTCACAAGGGCCGGCCACAGGGAGGAACGTCCAGGACGTGCAGTCTTGAGACGGCTGTTGTCTGTGGCCAGAGCAGGGCGGGTAACCAAAGCTGATAAAAAGAAGCTGGAGACAGGAGTGGACATTGACTTCCTGACAACAGAGAGGAATAAAAATGCGCTGTGGGTAGAAGGTGGGGGCTGGGCACCCAGATAGTTCAGCCCCTACCGGGGATGAATCGGTTGGCGCGCTGGGTGGGGGATGGGCATAGCAAGACCGCACGGGATCCGGTGCCCACCACGGGTCCTGTTTCATTTCCTTCCGTGCTCCCCACTTTTCCTTACATCAGCCCCAACAGCTTCCTCACATTGTTCTCTCCTCGGATGCCCGTCCCTCCTTTCTTTGCCTGGTCAACACCTACCCACCTGACCCCGCCCCCATGGCTAGGTGGGACCCCTGAACTTCCCCACCACCCGACACTCCCAGCCCTCCACTCGCTATAACTGTTTGTCTGAATACCTGTGTGCCCAGTCCCAGGAGACCAGACGTCCTCCAGACAGTGAGAACGAACAAAGGTACTCGGGACACCATGACCTCAAAGAAGCTACTGAGGCCATGGAAGGAGAGAGCTCGCTGGCAGGAAAAGAAGGCCAGAGGTCGGGGCTCGCTGGGCCCTGGGTGTCGCGGGTGTGGTTCCACAGAGGCCAGTTTGAGGGTGGGGGCTTCCTTCCTCTGGGATGGGGGGTGGGCTGAGCTCGCGTTGGGATCCTCCAGGTGGGGTCAGGACTGCATATGGGCGGGGGAGCGAGGGGAGGGGGCTGTCCCTCTGCCAGGGTGCTGAACGGGAGTCTGTGTGCGCAGGCGGTCAGCAGCGTCCCAGGTGGCTGTCCCTGGTGGGGGCAGAGATTCTACGGGAGGGACCGTGGCCTGCTGCTGGGCTGCCTGCTCGCAGGTGGGCCGGCTGCCGTCCTCTCCAGGCCAGCGCATCTGTCTGGACACCTGTCCCTGCATCCCGTCTGTGTCCCCCTGGCCACCTCCACCCTCCTCCCCGGGCGAGCCCTTGTCTTCCTCACCGTCATGTCTCCCTCCTCCTCCTCCCCCCACTTTCGCTGCCTCTGTGCCTCCCGAGCGTCTCCCCTTCCCTCTTCCCCTTCCTCTCCCTCATCTTCCTGGGGTCCCAGCTGCCCCTGCGCCCGCAGGCCACCGCTACTGGACGACGAAGCGTGACGGGGAGGTGTACCTGCGGCAAGA